AGAAATATATGGTTTAACGTCTTAGCATTGTACGAAGATCCAGCACACAAGCAGATAAGAGAGGGGGTGAAACATTCACAAGAGACACCAGAGTTTTTACGTGGAAAACCCCTAAAAAGGGGAAAAAACCACGGGGCCTAGCCCAGTTTGAATGAATCCACTAGTATTTGTAGTCGATTACAAATGAGGCTCTTCCTTGGGAGAAGACCTTGGATTGATGTAGCAAATGTACATCATATAGATTGCATTACATTGTAGGAGTTACATATACATCTTTGTCTGGTCGGAAGGATCGTAGTCGACAGGAGACCGGGGTCATAAAGACCGTTGTCTGTTGATGCAGATTGTAAGGACCATAGTAGGCGACGAAGGCCTGAAGGACCGTAGTCGGTAGGAGACTGGGGTCTGAAAGACCGTTGTCTGGTGATGGAGGTTGGATGGACCGTAGTAGGCGATGAAGGCTTGAAGGACCGTAGTCGGTAGGAGACTAGGGTTAGAAAGACCGTTGTTTGTTGATGGAGGTCGAACAGACCGTAGTAGGCGACGGAGGTCGGAAGGACCATAGTCGGCAGGAGATCGGGGTCAGAAAGACCGTTGTCTGTTGATGGAGGTCGGACGGACCATAGTAGGAGGTCGGACGGACCGTAGTAGGCGACGGAGGTCGGAAGGACCGTAGTCGGCAGGAGACCGGGGTCAAAAAGACCGTTGTCTGTTGATGGAGGTCGGACGGGCCATAGTAGGCGACGGAGGTCGGAAGGACCGTAGTTGGCAGTATTCTGGGAGAACTGTGGGCATCAGGTGGTGGCCTGGTGGAGCTCAAGACCTCAAGTAGTGGTCCGGCTGAATTCTGGGCCTCATGTGATGTTCTGGTGGAGCACACGGCCTTTGATGATGATCTGGCGAAGACAAGGGCCTTTGGCAAAGGTGAGGGCTTCTGGCGAAGGTTAGGGCCGTTGGTAAAAGTGAGGTCCTTTGGCGAAGGTGAAGGCCGTTGGTAAAAGTGAGGGCATTTGGCGAAGGTGAAAGCCATTGGTAAAAGTGAGGGCCTATGGTGAAGGTTAGGGCCTCTGGCGAATGTGAGGGCCTTTGGCAAAGGTGAGGGCCTCAGATGAAGATGTCAGGCCTGAACGTCGGGTCTTGAGCAAAACGTTGGGCCTTCAGCAGAACGTCTGGACTTGAGCAAAATGTCGGGCCTGAACGTCGGGCCTTAACATCGGGCCCTGAGGTGGTGGTTCGGCGAGGCTCCGGTGGTGGTCCGGCGAGGCTCCGGGGGTGGTCCGGCGAGGCTCCGGCAGTGGTCCGGCGGTGGTCGAGGAGGAGCTTCTTCCTTCTCTTCCTTCCCCTCTTCTCTTCTTGCTTCTTGCTTGGCCTCCTTTCTTGTGAAGAATGAGGGCTCTATTTATAGATTTTCTGGAGTGGCATAGCTCGTAAATAGGCGTGAGATCAGGGGCGAATAGGGAGTGGTCGAATGGACGGTCGATATCGAATCCTACGATCGTGCACCGTTCGTTGTATATTTGAAGGTCTTAGAGATGTCGGAATTCTGCGATCTTGGGCTCGTTGGATTCGTCTCGTCGAGCCGTTCGATTCGAGTATAAGCTCGTTAAAATCGGAGACTGTTTGGTATCTCAAATTGCGGTTTGAACCTTCCAACAGCGCTTCGGGTCCATGATTCAGACCCATTTGGGCTCGGATTGAGTCGAATTTGGTGTCGTTGGGTTCGTATTTCCGAGACGCTCAGTTTGACTATAAGTTTGCTGAAATCGGAGTTCAGATGGTCTCCGAATTAATTTTTGAAGTTTCCAACTAGATTTTGCATCTAGATTCGTGCCCGATCAAGATAAATTTTTGACGATGTATCAAGTCTTAATGGGAAGAATTTTTAAAGTAAATTGATCATTGGAGCTATAACAAAAAAATTTTAAATTAAATGGCTTAGGATTATTAGAATATAGATTGACTTTTATATGATGTGTTGATGGAAAAACAATATAGTTATGCATTTTTTATGAATACTAAGAAATATAATACATAATAATGAATGAAAATCATGTGATAAGAAGGCAGCATAGATTTAGTTACTATGGATATAATATATGAAAGGTGAGAACTTACATGAGTCTATTACTAGCAAATCAGGTGTGGTACAAAAGTTTTTTGTTTGTTTGTTTGATCCTTTATAAAATTATTTAGATTTAAATGAAAATTTAATAAAACCATAATAAAAATTTCAATGTTTTGTGGGTCAGATTGGTGACACCATAGAAGTTGCTAATAAACAATTTAGTATGGTAAAAATAATAATATCATTATGCATTTGTGGTAAAACTAAAACTAAGAATGTGAAATGACTACAATGGAGAGAGTGTAGGACTGACACTAATTAAAGTGACCATTAGACCATATGAACTAAGACTAGTTTGGCACTATTGTGTCCTAGCTTCTTGAATTGACTCCTAATGGAAAAGCATGAGCTCGAATTCAAGTTAATCCCAAAATTAAAAAATTATGATTACTCAAGAAGCTTCTTGAGCTCCCTATAAGAAGCGTGAAGGATTTAGTTGACTCTTGAGTTTGCAGGCAGAATAGTTTCCTCATTTGATCAAATTAGATGATTAATTTCTTGTAAACAATAATCCCTTTCTTTCTTCTCAGACTTCACCCTCTCTAAACTTTCTTTTCTATGTGCTCCTAATTATCATTTTTATTGTTCCTTGGTGATGCTAGAACCCTCATCCAGTAAGATCAATCACACTTAAGAGGAGTTTTTTTTGTTAATTTTTATTTATTTTATTGTTTATGTAGGTAATGACTTGCAGTTGTTGACTTTATTCTTCCTTAGTTCTCTTTTTCTTCCTCTCATAACTTGCATGAAGTTTGGCTGATTCCACTTCTTGAGCTACAATCTTAGTAAATTGAGAAGATAGTGAAGCCTTATCATTGTGTTTTTCCACATTTTACACTTTTAAACTTTTAACTGGGTTTATTTGCAAGCATAACTTGGCTCAAGAACTACCAAACTAGTTGGCTTGTTAAGCAAACTAGTTGACTTGTTAAGCTGCCTAGTTGCTTTGAATAGCATAAGCTTGTGCTTTCTATGATTTAAGTCACTCAATAAATTTACCTTGGTTCACAAATTAGCTTAGATCACTTGCATGTTTAGGTTGGGGCATTGGCGACAAAGTTGAGTAGATGCACCAATTAGGTGGGTGTGATGTGGGACTGTAGGTGTCGAAGTTTGGCATTATATACTTCATTAGATGGTTCAGTTCCAGATATCTCTTGTTTCTACACCTATTTTGTTATTGAGAATAATTAGTTTTGGAGCTTGACTTACTTTGTGTTCGGGTGTGTTCGACTGCTTAGGAAAAGAATTTTGGCTTTTAAACTAAAATGCTCAACTGTCTATTACTGTTTTGGGATCAACTTTAAATCAATATAAATTGAGCTGATCCTGTGCCAACCATGTATATTAAATTAGGAGATGATAAATCTATAAATCAATTTTCAAGCCATGTAATAAGAACTTGATTAAAATCTCTTTCCAATCTTCAATCTTTTGAGTGCAAGTTGGCTGTATGATTCATTCAAGTATGGTATAAACGCAACTACATGATGACGTGGAAAAGCATCTCCTTGTACAAGCATTAGGTCAGGATTTTTTTCGGCACATTCATTCCTTTTTCATATTTCATCTGCTTTACTTGATATTGAATTGATTAGTGCTCTTGCTGCTGTTTAAATTTGGCACATTAAAATTTCAATTTGGTAAAGTTAAATTACACATGCTCATTTGTTTTATGTTGTTTTAAATCCTAAGTGAATCACTTATTTATATTATTATGATAATTTAATTATCTGTAGGATTGAAATTGAAGTATTACTTGTTTACATATTAAAAAGTTAGTGGTTGAAATAATTAGTGGTTTGTGCATACTATGCCTTATTTTAGTTGCATTTAGAAACCTCTTAGCCTAAGCTATCCTTTATCACTATGTAGATTAATCTATTACCCAATTTTTTTTAAGCGGGACAATGTCCTAGTGCTTCAGACCTCAGCTTTCAATAATGAGATCATGGGTTGGATCACTACTTGTCCCTTGGAAAAAAGGTGGGCATGCATTCTATTTAGCTCTTGTATCAAGGGTTGTTCCATTCAATGACTATTCTGAAAATCTATAATTAGTTTAAGCCCACTTTATAAAATACATATAAGAAATATATTTCTAATGTTTTTAATATTAAAAATTAAATATAAATGGCCTAGGAAGAGAATGGTTGGCCTTTGGGTGATAGAGCACAAGGCACGTGAACTTTTTTCTTAAACTAGGATCGTCAGTGCATGCAATGAGCATTAAGTAGAATCACATGAAGAAGTACTCCAATGACCTCAAGTTGTTGGGATAATGCTGGCGTTGATGATGAAGTTTTAATTTAGCAGATATTTAAAAGATTATTTTGTTCTCGAGCAAAGATCAGGAATTTCAAATAATAAATTGTTTAGAAGGGCATACAAATTTTCCAATTTGAACTGCTCCTATTTCAGCTGTTCTTTGGTATGATGCTTTTGGCTCTAAAGTTTGGTTATTTATTGTCAAGATGGGCTTCATCAGCTTTATTTTTGGAGAGGGATATAATGAGTACTTTTTTTTGTGGGACCTAATTGTTGTGATTTATAGCTTGAAGAATCTAGACGAAGTATTGACAAAATTTGTGGGGTCTAAATTAATCTGGAAGTTTGTCAATTGCAGTGTTAGTTTTAGTTTACATTTGTCCGTGATAGGTTAATTGCTTTTTTCTGGCATAATTTGGTTTAAATTTTGGGTAGAAACTTTTTTTGAAGGTTTGGTTCTGTTTAATGTCATCTATGTTGCTCTAATTGCATATCACTTACCTTATTAGCCTTAATCTTAATTGGCACATCAGCTGGTGCTTTGTTATCTTCTTATTATCTCAAACATGATTTCCTTAGCTGATGGCTTCCTTTTATGTTTGTTCAGCCTCCTCTTTGGGAGTGCTACCAACAGCAACTAAAAGAATGGGAGCTGGCTATGATAAATTTGCACTGCCCAGCAAATGAGTTCCAAGAGAAGGCTACCGCTCCTGAAAATCCTCCTGAGAAACCTCCCATGTTTGCTTTCTGTTTAAAACCACGAGGTCTGGAAGCTAACAAAGGTTCAAAGCAGAGGTCTCATAAAAAATTGATGTACAGTGGGCATCACAGTTTATTTGCAAGAGAACACGATGGGCTCCATGCTTCTGGTACTATTACATCCTCTATATTTTTCCGCTTCAGTAATCTTCAATTGCTCCTCTTTTTTTATCAATTTAATTTTATGCTGTTATGATTGTAGGGAGAAGATTGAATATTTCCTCTGTCGGGGATGAGAAGGCTTTGTTTGCTATTCCTACTTATGAAGGCTTTCAGTCTACTCAGTGGCTTCAGTCACCCTTGAGTTTCTCCCCAAGGGATGCAAGAACTGCAATTCTGATGGCTAGTGATGTTGTGGATAGAAATCATTATCCAAAGCTTTTTAGAAACTTTTCAAAGAAAAATGGGGTGCATCATACTCCTTGGGATTCTTCAGTCATGCCTTTATCATGCCCTGAAAAGTCAAAGAGGAATGGAGTTTATCGTTTTAATTCTGATACATTGGAATGGCCAAGCTCAAAGCATTTGCAGCCAGATGGTGTTCAGAGGCAGCAGCCTGATATAAATGAGTTCAGGCTGCGTGATGCATCAGGTGCAGCTCAACATGCATCCAATATGGCCAAGCTTAAGAGAGAAAAGGCACAGTGGTTGATGCATAAAGCAGATCTTGCACTTCACAAGGCCGTGGTTGCTATTATGACAGCAGATGCAATAAAGACATCTCAAAAGGACTTGATTGGTGGCGAATAAATTTGCAGTCGTCAGATGCAGGTTATAGACAAGCAAATCAAAATTCATAGATGCATTTGCTCGTCATTTTGCTAAATTCATGATTGAGACGGGCGCTGCTAGTGACAGGATGAGCAGAGAAAGATGGTTTGATTTTGGGAATCTCGGCCTTCTGGTCGATTTAACTATTTTGCCTTTTCTGCTGTAGAAATTCTCCATTAAATGGTGGGGCTATACGGCTCTGTTCAGAAGATGACTTGTAGTTTTTCTGGTTGATAATTTTGTACATAAAATTTTCCTTTTTTGAGCCCTTATTTTATTTTGCAAATATGCGCCAATGATAGTGCTGTTGGCTTAAAAATAATACTACATTTGGAGGCCCTTGATGCTCATCTAATTGACTATGGTTGTGTTTGTAGGGAAATACTCAAATACAGATGCATTAAAAGCTTTTGCTTAAATGCAGGAATTCTGCCAGTTTGATGTTTCTGAAAATAGAATGTAAGTGTTTTCATTGATATTTTTCTAATTGTTATACAATATTCTGTTTGTAAAATTCTGATGCTATCTTATCAATGTTGTGATGTTTACAATCTACTTGTTCCGACCCATAAACTATAAATTTCTGCATCAGAGTTGCAATGTCTTGCATTCGTTTTTTCACTGCAGTAATTCAAAAAGGATTATCCTTATCCGAGAAACTGATTTTGTGTTGCAAATCTTTGCCAGCTGTAGTTTCTCTGTTTGCTGAAGAAGCAAAGTTCTTTCTGATCTTATTTTACAATTGGGAACTGCTATGTTTAACTTTATTGTTGATCAGTATTATTTTGCTCGTGCAAACTCGATGGAACCCTATTTATTTTGCTCAACTGGTAAGGTAATCAAATATTTAAATTCCAACCTCATCACTAATAAATTTTATATCTATTCTTGCAATTGTTTTGTCTAAACTATGATTACTGACATTTTTTTATTAATTTTTCACTACTTGGAGGTATTTTTACACACAATCTTTCTGGACTATATGTCCATGATTCGTGCATGCTCTTGAAACATTTTTACTAGTTCATGGTGTTCAGTTCTGAGAAACTTCCATGTCTACCGAGCGTTTCATTACCAATTCTCGGAGCAGTTCTTTCCAACCTGTGTGGGACCCGATAAATTTTAATCCATTTGAAATTTTAATGCATTGAAATTTTAAAGGCTTGATGTTGTTGTTGTTGTTGTTGTTTGTTGAAATTTTAATGCATTGCAACTCAAGAAACATGACAAAGGTAATGAATTAAATTTCTTCCTGAGAGGTATTGAGATGCAAAATCTGGGAAAATTGATGTAGAGTTTTCTTAAGATGTATTCTGATTTCTGACAGATTTTTGAATTGGTATTGCTGGCGAGGATATAATTTTGCTACAGATGGTGTAAACGTTTTCTTTCACAAAAGAATGTGGCTTCATCTAATTTTTTATTTAGATGCTTTGTTGAGCTTTACGTTTGAGGGAAACTAGCTAAAGTTTCTTGAGTTAGATATACTTAGGGAACTTGAAATGGATGAAATATTCTTATATTATTTTCATTTATTTGATTTATTTGATATTTGCGACAATTTAAAACAACAATTCTTGTTTGAATTCTGTCATGCTTATCTATCTGCAACTTCTTTCAAGGGGAGTAATTGAACTAATATTTTTTCCTTTTGGGTTAGGAAGTATGGCATGTTCAGTGAACCTTCTATTGTGTTTGGTATGGAAAATGAAGTTTTCTTTGAGAAAATGGTGTCAGGTCATTCCGTTCCATATGTTGTTGCTGCTGCTTTGAAACTCCTTAGATCAGCGAACATATAAGGTGACTAGATTGAAATCACTTTTTTGTGTGGAAATTTGTTGCTGTTATCTTCATCACTAGTTTTATGCCAATTAAACTAAATGTAGGATTTGTTAAATCCTATAAATCCAGATTTTATAATTTCTTAGAGGATTAAAACATGAAAACTGTTTGGCATGATAACTGTAAAATTTGGTAAATCATGGTAAACTGGTTAGGTTTTTGTTAGATTTATAAGAGGACAAATTGTTAAATCGGTTAAATCTTGTAAACGATTAACAAGTTCTGGAGTTAATCTATAATGAAGAAGAAACGAGATTTATCATGAAAGTAAGTTTTGAAGAGTTCAAAATTTCATTTGCTAGGATATAAGCAAAATCTTGCTTAAATCCTGCCTAACATAGGATACCAAAGAAGCCCCTTAAGGTCTGCTAAATTTGATGTTATAGTCCATTTAAATAAAGGAATAAATCTGCAGATTCCCATTAAAATCGCCTTGATGAAAGTTGCTTACCAGTCATGCCGGAGTTTGGGTCATGCCGGAGTTTGGGTGACCTGGAAAGCACTACAGACCAAGCAATCAATTCCACTGAGCATAAAATAGGAAAGAAACAACAGCCAAAGCAAGATTCTTATTTCACTGAGTATTTGTCTCAATTGTGAAAGCTAGATATTTGTGTTGTTTGATTACAGATATTTGATGACTAAGTTCCTTCTTATATTAAGGCACACATCATCAGCATCATCCTGAATTTATTTTTGTTCTATCTGTTTAATTTGTTGTAATATCGCAATAATAAAAAATTTTGTTCAGCATTCTAATCATTTGTTTTGGAAGCCTATGGTGCAAGGATTTGTTTCGTTAATTTAGAATGGAATTGATTTGTGATGCGAACTGATATTATAACAATTGCTATTCAGAATCAATGTTTCTATTTTTTAGTGGGATCCGCAGCACTAGTGAAAGTCACTTTGAAATGTTTTATTCAGATTTTAAAATTCTTTTTTGTTTTCATTGAAGTAGGGTTTGGAAATATTGATATATTTTGTTGAATTATGAAAATTATGAAAGTTATTATTATTATGACTGGTTTTGATCACTTTTTTTTGAAGCTATTTGTAGTGTTAATGCAAAAAATTTACTCCCTGAATTTTAATGAATCTTTAACGTAAATACAACATGAATTTCTCTCTTCCAATCATCTTCTTCATTGATCTATTTGCTTGGTTGATTGAATTGCCACTATCCCAATTGTAACATTTGGTGGATTAAAGCCTTTGACAATCTTCATATGTGATCCATTCCAGGTGAATGTTAAATATTTTTTTATTGTAATTTCCAATGCATTCATCATCCTTTTAAATGTTGACATTCTATTTTTAATGTTTGTACAAAAGCTTTGAAAGCTAGGAAATTTATACACACAATATGGTGTTTGATTCTGGTATGGGCCAGACTCGAACAAAATTTACTTCTCATTTCCTTCTAGATCATTTGGTTTGGAAGCCTATGGTGCAAGGATTTGTTTCATGAATTGAAAATGGAATTGGTTTTTCTGCTATTTGTATATAATAATTGTTATTCATAATTAATGTTCTTTTTTTGGGTCCGATCCCCTACAAGGAATGTCAAATAATTTCTTTAGTTTGTAAAATTCTTTTTCGTTTAAATAGTTAGTTGGAATTTAAAAAAATTGATATATTAGTCTAAAATATGAAAATTATTATTTTTATTTCTATGACTATATGTGATTTTGATCACTTTATTTAAAGCTATTTGGAGTGCTTTAATGCAAAAGCCCTCTCTCTCTCTCTTTCTTTATATATATATATATATATATATATTAGATGTCATAGATTTAACCTATGTTAAGAAGATAGAGTAGTCCTAAAAATATTTTTTATTCGAAAATATTAGAAATGATTTTTTTTTAAAATTAGATTTAAATGTGAATTTAACTCTTAAAGAGGATATAATGGTAAAAAATGATTCATGTAGCTCACCTCACATATTGGGATAAAGACTTGATGTTGTGGTTTAGAAAATATTGATATATTTGGGTTCAAAATGTAAGTTATTATTATTATGACTGATTTTGATCACTTTGAAGCTATTTGGAGTGTTAATGCAAAATGTGACTCTCTCTCTCTCCCCCTCTTTATATATATGAGAATTTGATTTTATGTGCCTCATAATGCATATATTTGGATAAATATACTATTAATATTAAGTATCCTCTAAAGTCATTTTCAATTGTAAAGGTCTTTGATATCTCATATTTTTTAATGAAAGTACAAGCATGAATTTTTTTTCTATCAAGGAGATACTCCTCTGATGATCTACTTGATTGATTTATGTTTTGTTTGAGACTGTCTTTTTAATGATTTTTAAAATAATTGTTTAGTACAAATATTTTGTAAATTATAAATTATTGTATTAAAAGTTGTATTAGAGAGCAATGATCTTAATTGTCACCATTCCAATTATAACGTGAAGTAAATCAACGCCTTCAGTAATCCTCTCATGTGATCCCTTGCAATGTCAATGGGGATAATCAACGCCTTCAGTAATCCTCTCATATTCTGCATCATTTCCAATTAAGGGACAGCATCATTAGTATCAGCCTGGTTTTTTTTTTGTTCTGCCTGTTGAGCTCTTTGTAATTGGTAAATAATGATAGATGTGGTTCGTCATTCAGTCATTTGATTTGGAAGCGTGGTGTAAGGATTGGTGTCGTTAATTTCAAACTGAATTGGTTTGTTCTATGAACTGATGTACAACAATTGATGTTCATAATTTTTTTTGGGGAAATATCGGGGCAGAAGCCCATGTATTAAAATGAAAAATCAGTTACAAGTAAGGAGGGGCTCAAATGGGAGATCCCGAGTATCTCAATAATTTCAGCGGCCAAAGGGGCATCTTTAGCAAAAATAATGGAACTCTTGCCAGGGTTAATATGAAGGTTAGAGGTAGAAGCAAAACGGTGCAGACAATTCTTAAGGTTAATGACATTATCAGAAACAACATCTCCAAACACCAGGAGATCATCACCAAAAAGCAAATGGTTAATAGAAACACCATTGCAGGAGATACCCGAGAAAAAGGAGGTTGGAGACAGTAAAAGATACCCATTGCAATGTAGAATAACAGCGGGGATATGGGGCAACCTTGTCTAAGACTCGAAGAAGATCTGAAAAAACCTTTAAAGGATCCATTGATATAGATGGAAAAAAAGGCCTCTGAGATACAACCTTTAATCAATTTAATGAAAAGCTTGGGAAAACCTTTAAGCTTCAAAAGGTTTAGGAGAAACTCTCCTGATAAAGAGTCGAAAGTTTTTTTGATGTCAAGTTTGGCACAAAAAAGATTTCTCCCCATTTTAAATTACCTCAGAATTTCAAAAGCCAAAATGATATTATCTGGAGAACACCTATTATAGATAAAGCCTGTTTGACTTTCATGAATAACAAGAGGCAAGACCAACTTCAACCTATTAGCCAACAACTTCGCCACAATTTTATAGAAGACATAGCATAAAGAAATGGGTATTTAATTAGAATTATGGGAAACATGTGATTTTTTAGGGATCAAAGTGATGGTCGTGGCTTTAGTACTCATGGGAAGAAAACCAGTAGAGAAAAAACTCTTAACAGCCTTGAAAACTTGATGACCAAGCAGGGGCTACTCTTTTTTATAAAACTCGAAAGAGAAACCGTCAGGGCCAGGAGCATCAG